TAGGTCCCATAAGAAGAGGCCTGTGTGATTGGAGGCAAATATGGGAACATCTGGGGAAAATGTTCCAAGCAGAAGAAATAAACAATAGTCTAAGAAAGGACAATGCTTGATGAGCCTGAGAAAACAAAAGGAGACTAGTGAGCATTCTGTTTGACCTAGTTTGTGGCACAAAGTGAGATTAGCAATAAGAACAGACTGTGCAATAGTAAAAGTTTATGGTTTCATTCAGTTCATCTGAGCTTGGAGGAGCAACTCCATGACAGTGAAGCTGAGGATGTGGTCAAAGCTCTGATAGCCTTTGAAAGTTGCTAGTGCTAGTCTAGAGGTAGGGCATGAGTAGAAAAAAGTAGAAGTGAAAGATGGCTTTGACTATTTTGGCCCCAAAACACTAGTATGATGATGATAGAGATGAAGAAGAGATTATCATATGTATAGGCAGGAGAAATTGGGCATCCTGTTTGGAACAAGAGAAGCTTGATGCTCCTATGAAATATATAAATTATTACCTATTATTAAATAGGCAAATAGATAAGTAAGTTTTGACTGTGTGAGTAAGAACAAATAAATGGTAAGCAATGATATGGTGACTGAATGAGCTCATTCAGAGTTTCAATGAGAAGAAACTGGAAAACCAATGAATTTCAACATTTATTTAAGTATAAGGAAAATGAAAATTAGTATTATCAGTCATTAATGATTTTTGTCAAAGTTCTTTTCAGATGATAGGAAAGGGAGCAGAGTTTTACATTGCGTCCTCATGTCTAGTTTCAGATTTCTAGTTTTAAGAACTGACGGTTGTTGCTTTTACTTTTAAATAGAATATATTTATTTTAAAACTCTGCTTATATCTGTTCCCACTGGCTTAATTATAAGGCAGTCCTTCATGGTTTTTCCCCAAAGAAAATTTCAAATATATATCTTTTGTATAAGTTTTGTTAAATGTTTATATTTCTTTGCATTCTTACTATCTCAGAGGTTTGAGGATGTCTATTTTATTTGTCTATTTCTCAATACCTAGCGTATGTTTGCTACATATGAGTTTTCAATGTTAAAAGAGACTTTTAATCATTTATTTAAACAGGATGCATTCCAAGTGCCTATTAGTGGCAAAACACTGTTTATAGCTTGAAGACACAGAAGTACAGCAGTAAATCCTGGCCTAGAGAACCTTTGAACCCAGGATAAGACCCAAAAGGATAAGGACAAATTGACTTTTGCCACAAGGTATGTAGGCTTAGCCAAAGCCTGTGCTAATGTAGAAAATTATGCAGATGGAAAATTACTAAATTTCAGTATGATAAAATACACTTTTTAGATGGAATACATTTTATATCTAGTACATATTTACTTAAACTGCTGGCTTTAGAAGGTAGATATCATTACTACTGCTTTACATATGAAGAGAATAGGTTTTGTTGTCGGAGTTCAATCCATGAAGCCAATGACCTTTGGGGCAGCAAGCCCTGGAGTGTAGTCTTGTCTGAAGAAATGACCACTGAAGAGCTGAGGGAGAAGGGTCATGCATTCTCTTGCTCTAATGCTCGCTCTCCAGTGGTCGGGGACAGAGGAAGGAGTGGCTGGTCCCCTGGGCAGAATACTCTGTATTGGTGAGTATTTATCTGTATCTTATATGTAAATCAATTCTTGAGATCCTTTAATAACTCACATGGGTTAATGTAACCAGTGACACCCAACATGGGGCACAAACCCACAACCTTGAGATTAAGAGTCTACCGACTGAGTTAGTCAGGTCCATGGGCCACATGACAATATACAGATTAGTAAAAATTGGTTAATTTAAGTGTTAGAGATAGCTAATAATAAGCTTGAGCCATCAGCCAAACAATTATAATTAATATTGAGCCTCTGAGTGATTATTTCATAAACAGCTGCAGGACCAGGAGTGATATGTAAAAGCCTCCACTACATGGGTTCCAAAATTCTAATCAGGAAAGCCACTTAGATTTCACCAGGTGGTTGAATAAGAGCACCTGAACCTGGATGCAATGACTTCCCTTTCCATAAACACATAAATATGCCTGTATACATAAATACACCTTTATTTTAAGATAGCACCAAGTCCAGTCAAATGAGACATAGTGCTGCTGAGACAGAAGCATCATTTTCGAAACAATCATACTTTCTTCTTTCTTCTGGAGACCCGTGTCAGGCTCAAGCTTTACATCTGGTTAGAAAATGGAAATTCTATCTTGTCCAGTAGATGCAACTAGTGATTTTCATGGTTGAATCTGTTCTATTTTTCTATAGCCTAGGCAGCTAGGTGGAAGTAGAAGCAGACACCCACAGCTAAACCTTGAACTGAACTGAAATCCAGTTGCAGAGGAGGACTGATGAATAAAGGGGTCCATACCAGGCTGGTGAAACCCTCAGAAACAGGTGAGCTGAACAAGGGGAGAGTTCTTTGTCCCCAGACTGATAGCTGGGAACCCAGCATGGAACTGATTCAGACCCCCTGAATGTGGGCTGTCAATGAGATCTTGGAACTCTATGGGGCCTCTTGTAGTGGATCAGTACTTTCCCTAGCATAGGAATGGAGTCTGGAAGCCCATCCCACATGGAGGGATACTCCCTGAGTCTAGACACAAGGGGGTTGGCCTAGGCCCTATCCCAAAGAATATGAAAGACTTGAAAGACCCCCTATGGAAGGCCTCATCCTCACTGTGGAGCAGAAAGGGTATGGGATAGGTAGGGTGTTAATTGGGGGGGGCAGGGGAAGAGGGGAGGCAGAGGGACCTGGGACTGACATGTAAAATAATTTTCTTTCTAATAAAAAGAAAAAAAAAACATGGGTTCCATTTTATTTACAAAACCTTACCCAGGTGAACATCCAATTTTTTTTTTGAGACAGGGTTTCTCTGTGTAGCTTTAGAGCCTATCCTGGCACTCCATCTGGAGACCAGACTAGCCTTGAACTCACAGAGATCCACCTGCCTCTGCCTCCCGAGTGCTGGGATTAAAGGCGTGCATCACCAACGTCCATCGAACATCCAAACTCTTTACCCTTTTTGTAGTAATGGAGACTTCTGGCAAAAACCGTTTAAGATTCTTCTTTGGCACTGTCTAGTTTTATCCCTTTCATGCATAAATTTAGTTTCTTTTCTTTCCCATAACAAACAACTCTACCAATTCTAGAACAAACTATAAAGAGGGACTTTTCCAAAAATGCCAAAGTATTTAGAAATATATGCACACACTGAAGGTATTTTAATAACATGTCAGTCATGTCACAAAATATAACTTATGGTGTTTATGATAACTTTTCTTATATGGCATTATTAATCATTTATGTTACATTTTATTCTGGAATTTACAGTAAGATTGTTTTTAATCTGATAATATAACGTCTATCACTTCAACTAAGCACTATGACATAAGGTGAAATGCAGAGAAAATAATGAATGCCAATATATACCAAAATTGTATGTATCAATTATAATTACAAACATAGCACATTTTAGGTCAATTGACTTAATGTATAATCATACTTTATTTCATTTATTCATTTCCTCATGCTATTGAAGATCATAGGCTTTTTATTTTTGCTAATACACTGAGTAAGAGAAATGTTGCCCCTTAAAGAGACAACAATTGTTAAAAGAAGTTTTATTAAATGATAAACTGTGTTCAGAAAACATATTTTGTAGCTATTTGTAGTTAGTGAAGACATAGCTGTACTTATGACAAACAGTACCCTTTTTACGTAGTAGAACACTGGCATGTTTCCGTCCATTTCTGTTTTCCACGTGGCAGGTATAATTAGCCAAGTCAGCTTCCACCACTGAGTCAAAGATGAGTGTCAATTCAACTTCTTTTTCTCCAAGATGCTCTTTGAGGAGTCTGAAAGAAAAACAGTAGACTTGGCTACATTGGTTTAAATGAGGCAGAACGTAGTCATACAAATTCTACAAGATGGTTAAAACAGCACACCCTGCAGACTCTTTTGGGTACAGAGTGCTCTGGTTAGATGTATGTGAGTGTATCATATCCAGGAAGAAAACACAAAATATGAAAACAAATAAGAAAAAAACAGATGTGGGGAGTTCACTCATCAAAAAGGAAGCAACAATATGTCATGGGGTTTTGATAAGTAGAGAGTATGTGATTTGTGTCAAAGAGGAGGAAACAATGGTTTTAATGTTCTAAAATGAGTTCATGAAAACTAGTTGGATCTTTACACTATGATACAAAGGAAAAAAACTGTACAAACATATATTTTATGTCAGAAGTTAGGCTTTATAAAGGTATAAAGAAGAGGACATTGAAAATGGTGACTAAAGCTGGGCATAGTGGCATACAATCTCAGTCCCAGCTCTTGGGAGGCAGAGGCAGATGGATCTCTGTGAGTTTGAGGCCAGCCTGGTCTACAGAGTGAGTGTCAGGACAGCCAAGGCTACACAGAGAAATCCTATGTTGAAAAATAACAAACCAAACCAAAACAAGGACAACAAAACAAAATGGTGAGTACACAAAAAATAAACTGAAGGTGCTTAGTGACATTTAATCTCCAAATATTAGTAAGAGTCCCGTTTTCTTTTCCCTTGTAATCTAATACAGTACTTGGCCTTATTTCAAACCTGGCTGCCCTCCATGGCCCTGATATCTCTAAACCTTGCTCCATTTCTGTTCTTCTGCATCTACTACTCATGGATGAAACCCTGTTCTCAGTGATATTTTCTCCCAGCCTTGCTGTTTTCTTTCTGAAGCAAATTGCAAGGGGTCTTGGGTGGCCAGAAAGAGAATATCTATATTACTAGCATTGTTTCCAGGGGGCCACAATCCCGTTTCTTCAAAGATTTGTAGTCTCACTAGTGTAAAGCTACCTCCTTGGTTAAAAACATGTTTCTGTTTCCCCATGCTGTTGACCAAAAGGAGCAAATGAAAGTTGTAGAATATGGAAGTTAAGGTCTGGGGTAGCTGGTTAAATATACACATATACCAGTAAACATAAAATAACTTTATGTAGAACGTTGGAGATGACAAAAGTAATTTTATGCTCTTTATGGATGTATAATCATGAATACAGAAAAGACTTCTCTGATTGACTGGCATTGAGCACAAAGTCAGACTGGAACCTTACAAAGTCATTTACTCAACTGGTGCTACCATTTAATCCATATTTAAACTGGAAAGAATAAATACTATACTGAGTGTGAAGTTGGGATAGTAAATGAGTTAAAATATGTGATTTGAATACTAAAAACAATCACTGTCACATTTAAATGAATGTTATTAAATGTAAATATTTCATTATCTGAAGATGGAGTGTTCAGATTTTTTGGCTCCTCCCAAAACATTTGAATTTATGTTTATTAGCATTTAATATTAATTTGGTTTACTCTCTCTTTTGAAAGATGGAAAAGGTTTAAGTTAACAGAAGAGAGACGTTAGAATCTGAGAATCCCTTGTCCGGATATCTGAAGCCTAAAGTGGGTTCTACACAGTTTTTAAAAATTAACCCTTTTTCTGTTCCTGTCCATTATTCAAGGGTTGACTATATAGCACATATAGGTGCTGGGAGACACCTGAGGCCTGGGGACTGCTTGCGGGCGAATTCCATCCCAGTGGGATCAAGCTCACGAAGAGATTGCCTAGGCCCCTTCACAGTTCTGCCTCCATCCACGGGACTAGGTAAGCCTGGGCCTGTTTCCGGCCAGCCTTCCTCTGCCCTGCTCGGAGACAGACTTCAAGTGAGTCTTCTATGACTGTTTTCATTTATGCATCTTTGAGATCACATGTTATTATTTGTCTTTATATTAATTGCTTAACTGACTGCCTAAAGCTAGAATTTCCCCCATTTAATTTCTCTCTCAGCATACAGTTGGGGCATTATATTTATGGTTTACATTGACTTTTGTCCTCTTTATTTTCCTCCTTCTCTTGGTAAATCCCACTGTATTCAATTGTGTAAACTTCTGAGGAAGAAGCTCTCTTAGTTCCAGAACTCTCAAAGGCACCACAGATTTCATTTGATTTAAAGTATCACATGGAGGGCTGTCACAGCCTCTGCCAGGCACGGGGCAGAAAGCTGATCCTGCTTCTTGCCACCAAGCCTTTCCCTCCTCATCTCTAATGCAGTTTCCAAAAACAGATCTCTACAGGCTGCAGAAAGAATTTGGAGAGAGGGTTGAAAAATGATCCTTCTTCATTCTATTAATATATATGAGGTGTCTTAATTATCAGCTCTTAAAAATCTCTAGGTGATTTGCTTTTTTGGAATTAAACAGGAGGTTGGTGTTTATGTCTATAATTCAGTTTGCAGAGCAGTCAAACTTTCCTACCAAATATTGATATATAAAAAAAATCCATCAATGATGCTTTTTCAACCTCTAATAAGTAGCTAGCTCTGGGCTACAGACTTAATGTAAGAGAAATACAAACATTCTAAGGCTCAAACCTGATACACTAAGTTCTAAAATTTAAAGGAGAAGGCAAAATTTACACAATTGAAAAAATTACAGAAATGATGAGGTTAAGAAGTGTTACCACCCCAATTGTGGTGAGTATAGAATTTCAAAGCACACAATATGAATCAGCTTTCAAACTAGACTTGAAACAGTGTTGGGGAAAAGAAAAAAGAGGTTGCTTTCCTGGAGAAGATAGTGATGACTTTCTGTAGACTATGTTAGATTGATTTTTATGATTGATAGAGGTTATAGGTGAGGGCAACCTAGGATATATTTCAAATAATAGTAGAAGTATTTCATTCTAATGATAAATAATCATAATACTAGAAGCCATGTGAATTTTGAATTTGTTTTAAACAGTTTATTTTGGGTATAACTCATCAACAGAAATGAACAAAAATTGCTAAGTTTGAACACATGTATATTTCCATTGGAATTTTGGCCAGTGGAATGTGTTCTAGTTTGTTTTTTGTTACTATGATAAAACACTATGACCAAAGGCAGCTTTTGGAAATGGGAACAGTTTATTTGACTTAACTTTCACAGGTCATTGTGGGAAATCACAACAAAAACTCAAGGCAGGAACCTAGAGGCAGGCACCATGGACTGCCACTTGCTGACTTCCTTTCTGGCTTGCTCCATGACTCATACTCAGATAGTATTCTTACACATTTCAGGCCATCTGTAAAGGGCTCATGCCACTCATAGTGGGCTGAGCCCTCTCACATAATTCAAAACAATCTCTCATAGACAGAGACGGCCACAGGCCAATTTAATCTCTCTTTTTCCTAAGTGACACTAGTATGCATCAAGTAGACAATAAAAACTAACCATTGTAGAGTACAATAACTAGCATTCCAGGCAAGCTATATGAAGAGGTAATATTAGAAAAGAAATTAAAGATTAATTCAGGTGAAAGAAAAAAAAACAACCTTCCAAAATTATAGTTAGGATATATTATTAGAAGTATTACTAGAGTGGCTATGGTGAGGCTCCACCAGTAAAATGTTTGATACACAAGCATGAAGACCTATGTTTATGTCCCTAGCATACAGATAAATGCCTGGCAGCATACATTTATAATCTCAGGGCTGGGAAAGTGGACATAGTAGGGTCCTTGAGGCTTGATGATCAGGTATTGTGCTAAATTAGTGAACTCAAGGTTCAGGGAGAGACATTGTCTCAAAAATATAGTGTATAGAGGTTTGGAGGTCTGTAGTTCCTGTTTCTCCCTGCTTATCTCCTGTTTCTGGCCAGATATCCCATTTCCTGTCTGTCTGTACAGACATCCAGACCTCAAAGGTTATCTAGTGGCAAGCTCCATTCTCTGACCTTCAGACAGGTTTTATTTGCACAAGCAAGATATCACCTCAGAGGGGTGAATGTGATGAATCTATATTAGATTCATATATGAAATTTGAAAAATAAGGTCCAGAAGCTATGGAGGAGGATACTTAACATCAGTCTCTGGCCCCCAATACACACATCCGCATGGACTCATAACTGCATACACATGTGCACATGTATTCCTGCATATTCTTCTCCCACAAAACAAAACTATTACTTGAAAGAATGTGGCAATTGTGTCACACACAGACACGTAGACACATAAACAGAGAGTGAGAATTGGAGGAAGTGTGAGAGAAAATGAGGGAGAAAGAGAGGGAGAGAGAGAAAGAGAGAGAGAGAGAAAGAGAGAGAGAGAGAGAGAGAGCTGAGGAAATGCAAAGTTACCAACTCTTCTTAGATCTATCAGATAAGTGGATGCTTGTCCCCTAATACTAAAGACTTTAGTACACTCAGGCCAGAATCCTAGGAGTCTGATGCAATACTAGTAAGAACACTTAAAGTGTAAATAATACAATATACACATGCACTGAAACATTCCATCAATATAATTTTTGTAACTGGTGGATCAGATAAAACTAATTGAAAATTTAAATTGTATTTGTATTTAGGCTCACAATACTCTGAGCCTAAGAGCTAATTTTTCTTTGCACATAGGTATAGGCTGACTTCACACTCTGTGAGTTTTGCCTTCAGGGGCAGTGCTGATTTTCAAGGTAAAGTTCAGATAATTGTCCTTCATGCTTCTGGCAAGTTAAAAGGTAGAAATATTCATTTAAAATGAGCCCAGAACACTGTGTTCTTTTTTCTAAAAGTCCATCCTCAAAGGAAACTAGTTTCTCAGATTCTAAAAAAACTTAGGATTTACCAAAGCATAACAACTACCTGGGCAAAAAGAACTAAACAGATGGGGGAGGTCCTTTTGTATGCTGTGAATATACATTTCTCTTATTGGTTGATGAATAAATACTGAGTGGCCAATAGTCAGGCAAGAAGTGTAGGCAGGGACTACCAGACTGGGAGAATTCAGGGAAGAGAAAGGCCGAGGAGAGAGTCACCAGAGAGAGATGTCATGTAGCTGCCAAA